TGATTTCATGGGTTGTTGGATCAGGCCCAAAGACTGCAGCAGTGTGAAGGGCTCTGTCAAAGCCATGAGGAGGCAGTGGGCTGTGGTAGATGGAGAGATTTAGAACAGACCTGAGATTCATAGGTAGAATTATTAATGTGAAGCTTGCAAAGGCCCTCCTCCCCCTGTGCATACCTCTGTTTAGCAAGATCAATCACTCACTTCCACATCAACCAAATTTGTCCAAGATTAGGAAGATAGTAATAATAAATAATTAGCATTTACATCACACCTTTCAGCTTCAAAGCATCTTACAAATATTCACTAATTAATCCTCACAACAGTCTTGTGAGTTAGGGATTTTCAGTATTCATTAAGGACTCAAAAATCTACAAAGTAAATAAAAAAATAGGCAGCAAATTACCCCCTCCCTGACTATATGAGTGTTTGCTGCCGACCAGTACAGGAGAAAACATGGTGTGTCTTGGGAACACTTCTGTTCCAGTAATTCTTGCATTCTCTAAAAAGTAAATAGCTATGTATCATAACCTCATGAATTAAACATATGGTAAAATAAATCCTATTATTTTAAGTCTTTGTCATCCTAAAAATATTAAATATATTAATTTTGAAACAATTACACAATTATTTATTCTTTTACCAGCTACTGTGACCATCAATTGTGTTTTCCTATTATAGGTTCCCGAAATATCAAGAGAATCTTTGAAAGTATCTATTAACTATCCATTTGTCAGATGAGTGCTGGGAGCATAAATGCAGTGGTCCTAAGAGACTGTAAAGCAGCTGTGTTTCTCAGAGCAGTTAAAAAGACACACAAAATATTGCTTGTAGTGTCTTTCACATCCAGTTTTATGTTCATTCTGTGTAAAAAGAAGCTGTTAATGGGAAAAGGAGGAAATGCTAATGAATTCTATCCCTACCCCATAATGCAGGTTACTCAGAAACACATGGTACCTTCAAAGCTTTCTGGTTAGCATGCAATGTGGAGAAGCAGTTAAAGTAAAGAATAAGGAACTGCAGAGAACTACAACTGCTCACACCTTCTCCCTATGGTGTGAGTAAATTGGAATAGAACCACTGAAGGAGATGGGTCTCAGCTAATTCACATCAGGCAAAAATGCAGTGTGCCTTTGTGGTTTATAGACCCTCTTTGTCTCGGTCTCCCCAACAGACAACTCTGCGCTTTTCCAAAGGAAAAAGAACAAGCTCTGGAAATCAACGGAAATCTAGTTTTGCTCTGTGGTTCTTTCTCAGATTTTCACTTCACCCATTGATAGAAGAGGAGAGTTAAACAAGTAGCTTCTTATTTGTTTCAGAAGAGAGAGGGTCTCCTTGTATTTCTTCAGGATTCACACGAAAGAAATTACTGTTACCTTAGGGGAAAACAGTTTCATTTAGCAGGTTAAAAATCTTCTTTGCTTGTGGTGAATGCCAAAAAGTAATAGCCTTGATCTTAGGAAACAAACCTTGATCTTATTCAAACTAATAGTTTTCATATTACAAATTACTATAAAGTAAGGCTATAAAATGAAGAGTTATTCCCTAAATAGTTGCATCAGTTCAGGTTGTGTTGGAGACATATTGTCTGGGGCAATATTGGTAGAAGAGCTACCAACATTCTGAATTGAATGTTAACTATCTTCAGAAATATTTAATCCTTTTTGTTGACTGACCTTTCCCAGAAATCAGAAAGCTTCATAATCTGCTGGGTTCTGCAAGTGACCCCTTCTCCCAGCTTAGGTTCAAACCTCTAAATCATTCACTGCTCTGTGGCCTCACCATTGGATCAGGCTGTTCCTCCCCTGCTCTCTACCTCTGGTACTTTTTCTTTTTAAACTTAGGTCATGATTTACAAAAGAAGGTTTTGCAAGCCATACTTTTTTACATATTTGTTGTTGGATTCAGTTTCACTCAGACCACTGGTCTGCCTCCAGTTCTTACCCACTCCCTACCAAATCCAAAAGTATACACTTTTTCTGGCTCATTTGTGGTGTTGGGGTGTTTTACAGGGAGGTGGTACACGATGACAACCAGGTGTCACAGATAAGACTTCCCCATGATGCAATTTCACAGGGTGCTATGTTTTTCTCAGGAGACATTCTGGACTATTTTGTGTTGCACATTGCCAGAAGCTGATTAGAAATCGCTGGAGTACAAGATGAATGGCCAATTAAACCCCTGTATCCTATGGCAATCTGATCGAGATAGGAAGTAGAGAACATAAAGGACATAGCTCCCCTAAACCACAGCTTTCTTAGCAGCTCAGCTTCTTTTAGATCCTCTGTTTGTGATAAAACACATTCGACCACCTGACAACACATATATTTACTATATATTGCAGTACATCCATATATGTACAATATATGCATTTAGTATCTATCATAGTACATGTGATGCAAATATAAATAGTCTTGCAATTTTTCAATGCCATACGAAGAGACTCGCTCACTCCACTATCCTGAAACACAAAGACCTTTTAAGTCTTTCTGACAAGCAGAAAATTCCTAACCCAAACAGGTAGAAAGTGTCAGGAAAGTAAGTTCACTGAACTTTCTGGAACATATGTCCTGGTGTTTCACTGATGGAAAGAGGGCATAAATGGATTCATCCAAAGCAGCTTGAAAAACTTAGGTTTTTCACTTAACTTTTACTACATAGATCTTTCAAGCCTTCATCTCAACAAAATTTAATAAGAATTTAATCCTATAACTAAATAATTAATGTAAAAAAATGTAATGATTAATTACATAAGCATACAGCATGTATGTCTTTAAGTGCTGGCCAGTTTTATGTTTGTACTGTGCCAATCAAAAGCATGTAGTTACGAGATGTCTCATTGGCTGTTTCCCATGGAAAAAAGGAACTTCAGGTTATAGGATGTGACTGGGGCTGAGAATCCACAAAATCCACTGTTTTCACTTTCCTTGAGGCTTGAGTGGGCGAGAAGGGTGGTCAAGAGCTATAACTGGGTAAAGGAGGCTGCCCTCTGTAAAATGAGGCTCCTCCAGCTACCAAACATAGCTGTGTTGTGAATGTTGTCTTATGTTGAAGACCAGCAGAGCTGAGGAGGGCAAAAATAGAACATCTACTTTTGGGGCTACCTCCAGTCTCCATGGCAACCCTGCCAAACTGGCTTCTCCTTCACTCATGAAGTATTATTGTGAGAGGCCTTACTAAGTAGATAAATTACTTTGTATTTTCTTTCCCAGGGCATTTAAATCTTGTTTCTGATGAAACTTTTGCAAGACTACATTTTTTAGGTGAAAGGTGCCAGCAAGTGCTTGTCTTCAATGCCACAGTTTCCTTTTCTTATTGTGAGTGGCAAGGACAGCTCATGCATCCGACAACAGGTACGGTTTTGCCTTTCAGGACTCACATGGTTACAGACAAATCAGCATTTACTCCTGTCAGGATATGAGATTTAGCACTCCTGGAAATGTTGCCTCATCTGCCTTGATGCAATCCTCTGGGGTGTCCTGTCCTGCAGATCCAGGTGTGCTTGGGAAGCAAAGCCAGGCCAGGAATTGTGCAGCAGTAACTTTAGGCTGAGTTGTAAGGATGTGTGAAGAATCCCCAGTGTTTTGTAGCTCAAGATCATAAAGGTCATTTCCAAAATTCTCCTGCAGAATGTATCATGTTAATTGTATCTACAATAATAATTCTCAAAGCTGATGAGCTCCAGCATTTAATTTCTAAGTCCTTCCCACACCAGAACTATATGAAAACATAACTTAATTCTTTTTAATTCAGAACAATAAAGTTACTCCAATTTCACTGGAGAAGAGGTGCGTGGATCCTCAAACATTAGGGAGAAACTAACACCTTTTTGGTGATCTCAGTTTATCTATGAGGTTTCAAAATCCGGAAAGTGTGTGTGTGTGGCAACTAATTATAAAAATTTTACAAGTTCAGTGATTTTTTTTCCCAACCTTTGATTTTCTTTCAGGAAAAATCATGGCTCCATTTTGTCAAAGATGTGAATTATTTTTCATTTTGTGAATTTTTTCAAGTAAAGCAAATTGGACAGTTTGTATTCAGCAGCAGAACTCATTTTGAACAATACTTAGCTAATGGAGCAAAAGATGTATAAGGTAAAAACATGTGCTGAACATATGCACCCCCGTGATGCATGCCAAACTTAATTAAAAATCAGGCCCTAATTTGCTGTGGGATCTAGACTGTGTACTGGTTTGTCCAGATGTTTATAAATGAGAAAAATACATTCTCTATTGCAATTCTGCATTTTGCAGACTCTGGGAAACTATTGTCCGAGTGTTATGCACTCTCAGTTCCTTGAATACCAACATTCAACATTGTTGAAGGTATAGTTTATAAATCCTAAGCACAACTGAGGCTCTCTGAGGATTGCTCATTTTACATTAAAGAGAGACAGAGTAAAACCGTGAATAGAAGTCTTAATAAAACCCTCTGAGAATACATGTCCCGGGGCTATTCAACAGGAGATTGTCAGCCTTTCCCCTGAAGTACAAGGCAAGAAATAATTTCAGGTTGTCCAATATTATTATGCAATTATTTCAGTATACAAGTTTACCAGCAGTCCTCTATTTCAGCACTGTAACAGAAACAATAAATAGAGGACTTTGCAATGAGGTATGTTGATGGATATACACATTAAATGAAATTTTGATTTTGAAATTTAATTAATAGCCTTCAGGCCATAGAAGAATGTATACCAGTTAAAAAGAAATATTACCCCCCAAAACAAACCCCCACCAAGACCCCAAACATTTTTAAATACCTGTTTGCACCATTTGCAGTGATCAAGAAGAGAAATTAACTGCAAAAATTACTTTGGGAATTATTTTGTAACAATTCAATCAAGTCATATTTTGTTTTAAGAGAACTTCTCAAAGAATAGGGGGGGGAAAGTGTTTTACATCACTGAAATTGGCTTCCTTCACATAACTATTTACTTTAAATGTAAGATTTTGATAAAATATTAACAAATATGTAGTTTATAACTAGTAGTGTTCACTAAGTATAGTGAAAGAAGGAAAATTTCTGGCCACTCTGCAAAACACTGACAAAATTTGATACAGTGTTTTGCATTTTTTGGGAATCTCCAATGTCAAACAGAAAAGTAAGTATTCCTATATCATCTTCAACTGGCATGCAAACAAGGTTTTGTACTTGCTAATGCAATGAACTTGATATTTAACAAATCAAATTATTTTATTTATTATGCATGACATTTTAATACTCTCTTCATTACAAAAATAGTTACTATTTAAGAATGTTTAAAGTAGTCAATCTCTCCCCTCCTCTTGTTTAATATTTACCTCCTTATATTGTGAATAATATAATAGTACTGATGTTAAAAAAAACCTTGGAAGCCTAACTGATGGCTCACAATTAGAGTCATGTATCCCATTGGCAGCAAGGAATTCCTGATTTAAGACTGGGGTTTTAGAATGACAAGAAACAGCTGATGGTGAGACCTCTGTTCCCTACACAGTTCAGCTGGTTCCACTCTTTCCTTGGACTTTCCACAGCTCCAGAGCCAGCCCTCTGCTCTGCCTTTTGCTCAGGCTGTGAGCTCTGTAAAAGTGTCTCTGTTGTCACACTCTTTGTCTAACACCCTGTCTAACAATACTCTGTCTTGGCTAACTTCTGGACAATGAAATAAAGCAGGTAATTGGTCCTACATTTTTGGAGAAAGACTTCTGGATGGAAAGGAGTTTTTTGTGTCCCCTTTCGACTGTGAGAAGAATCACAGAAAGATTCTGCATCAAGTCACAGATTTTTTATCATTGCTGAAATATCATGAAAACCTGCCAGATTTTAACTTGCTAAGAATATTTTAACCAAGAAGCAGCATTGACTCATGCAACACTGACAATAACAAAATGTGATGAAAGTTCTCAGGGTATTAATAGATTTGATCATTTCTCAATATGTCTGAATACATTTTTCTACATATATTTTTATAGAATCGCACATGTAAAAGGACTAATTCACTAATCATTTTTCTTCACACAGTTACTATTAAAAAACACACTTATAATATTTTTCCAGTTATTTTAACCATTATTTAACTCTCTACAATTGTGGAATTCTATGGTCTGTTGTACTATTTCCTAGTAGCCCACAAATACTACCACTACAAGCATTTCTTATCTTGTCTGCAGGACAAGCTGATTCACTACATGTGTAGTAGAGTTAGGTGAGACTGAGCTCGAAACAGCAATGATAGAAAGTAGTGAAACTCCTGTATTAAAGCTTTTCCTTACAATTGTCTGTGCAGTAATGAGCAAATGTGGAAAATAAAATAATTTTTTTTAAAAAAGAGGAACAATTTTTCCAAGGCCGCCTGATCTTCTCACCTAACATTCAATAACTTGCACCAAAGGGATATCACTGCTTATAGTTCATCTTCTGTTAATCAACCACTTTTCCTTCAAGTATAAGTGAGTCAAGAAAAGGCAAGCCTTGCTTTGCACATTTGTAACAGTTGAAGGAATCCCTTTTGAAGTGCAATGCTCACACTGAAACACCTGTATTGGCATCAACGGGACTATCCACTGTCAGAGGATAGCACCCTGGAATTTATCCTTGGCTTTAGTGGGATCCTGCTTTCTCTGTTTCAGTGTTTCCATGTGATGCTAAGAGGTGATTGTTAGAGAATTAAGAACAGTTTCTTGAGACTTTACAAAATATTAAATGGAAATGGAAAAAATAAACAGCATGCTCAAAAAAAAAAGATTATGAAAAAAGGTTTGAAACAGTTCTTGTCTGGTTCATTATTAATATTTCTTCTATATTTATATTCTTATGCTATACAACTTATTAGGCATTATTCATTGCTCAAAGGTTTAGGTGTAAGCATCATAAACTTAATCAGAAGCAGTATTTCTTCTTCCATTGCAACTATCCTGACAATGACTTTGAAGAGTGGTTAAGAGAAGCATGGACAAGGAGTAGGTCCTGCCCTGTAAAGCTGGAAAGCAGTTTCCATATATGAGATGTTCAGGCATTTTGGGAAGGCCACAGAGTCAGCCAGTGCTGATGACTGTGTATTAACATTAAACTTCTGATTCCAATGTAGTTAGTGATTATTTGAAGAGCCTCAATGGCAAGTCAGATGTGAAGCCTATAGATCTAATTCCCTGTAAAATCTGCGTCTCTTTCTCTCTTAGACAAATACACCTTTCTTCACATAAAGGAGTATTGGATTCTTTCACATAATAAATATCAAGACTTTACAACTGATTAGCTTACCATCATTGCTGTTACTATCCTGCAGGTTAAGAGCAGAAAAGTAACTCCTTGCCAGCAAACACTCAAGTAAAGCATTAAATAATCACTGCTTCCCACTTTGGTGCACTAAAAAACTGGAGAATTGACTTGGGCATACCATATCTAAATCAAGTTATAGTATTTGAATCAGTTGATCAGTCAAAGAAGATACGCTAAAGCCAAGGAATATCTTACGGTGTAAATAGTGCATGAATGTATTTGTACATGGGTAACAATCTGAAGATCTTAAATAATGAAATATCAACAGAAAATGTTAAATTTTGAGACAGAAACACAGTAGTTAACTTGCTTCCACCTAAAGTTGTTGCTATTAGTGGCAAACCATGTGTATTTTTTAAACAATTATTTTTTCCTCCCTTCTGATTCACCAAGAGGGAAGATAATAATTGATTATTAAAGCAGTTATTCCCTGGTATTGATTGAAATTTAATATTGGTAGTCAACAGAATAATTTGTGTGGGAGAATAAGGCTTATCTCTTATGAAGGTTCAGTATTCTGTCAAGTGGTGTAATTGCTGTCAAATCATGATATCATGTGTCTCACCAAATTGACCAGTAAAAAGTAAATCTGGAGTCATCAGAATTGTAACTTGTGAAAAATAGATCTCAGTGGGACATTGACCTTTCAGTACTGTAACAGTCTTGACTCATTCAGCTAATTGCCCACACACTAGTTTTTACTCTCGTATGTTCATCACTGTAAATACACAGCAAAGATATATAATCTACAGGAACAAGTGAAAGGCAATATACCTAGGCAGAAATAATTGAGAAGCTTCAAATTGTGGTTAAAATATTCATATGGTTACTGGAAAAGCTGCCAGCACATATTTTCCCGTGAGTGTAAGACCCCAGGAAGTGAGGGACTTTTATAGCGTTTGAGGGGGCAGCACAGAGGGGCCTGAGGATGGGAATTCACAGCCAAGAGGGAGTATTTTGGACAAAGTGACAATCATGCCTTCTACTATTACCACAGTGAGAAAACAGCTTGGGGAAAATCTTTAGCTGAAGCAGCAGAAGGACAGATAATTCCCCTGGGGAAAACAAGAATGAATAGAGCAGAATATAATCCCAGAAATACTGGAGAGGCAAAATTTGGCTGGCTTTCATTTAACCCTTTGATAATCCTTCATTTAAGACTGGGATTTTAGATCATGATGCTTCAGGATCTGAACTGTATCTCCCAAATTAAATTCTTCTTTCCTTGCAAGATCTAAATAGGTTAAATTTCTCATTTTCTGTATCACTTAGAAGTGTTAGAATCTTCAATGCTATTTTCACAGCTGTGTCATTAGAAAATCAAACACAAAACTTATGTACATACAAAATCTTAAACTTTTATGCAGGTCCTTACCTAGAACTTGTTGTAAAGAAATGTTAATGAAGCTATGAGCTATACTTATCATTGTAAGTCAACTTCCTCATGTCTTTTAGGGCTGCAAAGAACCACCTGTCTGACTGTGGCAGTAAGCCAGAAACCAACTGTATGATTTACACCCACTGGCTTCCTAGAAGCTGTGGGAGTGTAACCTTAACCACCATCTTCTTGCACAAAAGATCCTGGGAACCACTGGTTTGTTTTTTTTTTTTCCTTCCCCTAGAAAAGCACAGTGAGTGAAATATTAAATATACTTCCCGCCTCCACATTCTCAGAGCCTGACAGGGATAGTATCTCTTTAGGAAAGCAACTACTATTTTTCATGCAGTTGGAGATATACTAACAGAGCCAAGAATTTCTGTGGAATGGTAAGAGTCTGATTGTTTAGCATCAGCTCTGTAAAGGTAGTTAGACACCTAAATCTCAGTAGTATTAGAGCAATTAGGCATCTGAAGATTCAAAATTTGGCTGTTATATTGCAGGCAGTCATAATGCAGAACCCATTTCAGAGCTGAAATAGTGAACTGTTACCCGTGACTTTTTAGGCATCCATGTCTACCAGAGGATTTGCTTGTGACACGTTGCTTGCATTACGCAATAATTCATTGTATACACAAATTTAATACCCAAATGGAAGAGTTTATGAAGCATTATAGTATTTAGCAAGTTGAAAAAAACTGTAAACAGTTTCTTTAGGAGGAGAAATAGAGCAACAATAAAATACAAAAAAAAAAAGTTAATAGAGTAAACCATTTTCACTACTAGAATATCACTCAGTTCTTAATCGATGCTTCTCAAAATCCCAAATTTTTATAAAATGACAGGTTAGAGGAACGCACAGACCAGCTTGGATGTTAGTTGTAGACTTTCCTTTCAGGTTTTGGGCTTTGGCTGAGTCCACACAGCATCCCTCACAGCTAATGCCAAAGAGTTGTCCCGTTATTCCCTGCCCAGCTTCTAGGGGGAAATCTTCTCCCACAGATAGAGAAGGGATCAATATTTTGTCTCCTGGTTTGTAACAGAAAAGCTCACTTACAAGTCTCTAAAATAATTTCCTCTAGAAAGAATCCAGCTGGCAGATTAACCTACTTATGTGGTGTTCTGTGTAGCTCTCTGAAGACCTACAACCAATTCTTTTGCATACTACTCTGTGCAGTTCAGTCTTTCAAAGAGATGCGCAGGTTGGATACAGTGAAATGTATATACCGTCAGAGCACAGCTTTGCCATGCTCTTCCCAGCTGTCTGCAGCCCTAATGTCTGCTTCTGCTCTTCTGTGGTTAGAATAAGACTTAGTAAATACAAATAATTGTCTTAAAATAGAAAGAATGAAGGAGCTGCCTCGAACAATGTGATTCTGTTCTTTGTCTATGTCTAGTGAAAGGAACTACTGTGACATCCTGGAAATGTGCTAAATTTTGCTTCCCATATCCAATTCTGCAAAATT